TCAGTGTGTATGCATTTGTACCAATGCTATAAGCCATGAAGCCATGTTTTCAAGACTTGAAACAACATATACAGTAGTATCTAAAAAATCACGGCTTAAACAACAAAAATATTAGATACAGCCTACCCTGAGCTTCTCCGCCTCGTTCAACTCCTTCTGTCTGATGCGATGGGCCTCTTTGAGCTTATCCTCCAACTGTCTCATCTCTATCTCCAACTCATGCTCATACTCAGCACTGGTCTCCTTGTATTCGGCATACTCACTCTCCACCTCATCGTGTAGTCCCTTCCAATAACGCACAGCGTCTTCAACTGTGCTGAACGTGGTTGGAAGCAAATCATCGTTCACCTCGGTCATGTTAATGGTGTGTATAGTATGGCATGTCACGAGTGGCCCAGTATTGAATGTGGTGCTCTATACCCTCCTATTCCTATTGCTTACAACCCACTGGTACGTAGTGGGAGAGTTCCCAGGGCTCCAAGGGAAAAAGGCGTATGTATGTATGAAGACAATAGGCGAGGTGTTCTAACTCTTCTGATGGTATAACAAGTGTCGTGTGCCTTTTGTGTGCCTTTCGTGGGTCTTTCGTGTGTCTTTCGTGTGCCCTTACAATATATATAGGTTTGTTTGCTCGATAGGACAAGCCGTATCTAAAACACTCCACTTTCTAAACACCGTGCTGGGCTGGTAATCCAAGTGCTCTTGTAATATTAATATACAGTTACAACAGATATAAATACACACTATATCTATCCTACCGTTTCACCTGTGATGTGATGGCGCTGATTATCCCACTGATATCAAAAGTATGCTCATGAGTCATGACTCGTCATGGATGACATTGACAGGCACTCGGCACTGAGCAGTCAGGCACGCAGCAGTCAGGCACTGTCCCAAATTAACTTTCTGGGTCATGACTTGCGTGGGCTATGTCCTAAAAGATAAAAAAAAGGGGTCCGTTCGGATATTTCACAAGTACATAATCAGGTCCCCTAAAAAAATCGAATTGTGTGTATCGTTGTTTTACCCCGCTGTGACTATCAGTAAATATACATATACATATCAGCGAATAGCGATGAACACATAAATCATTAATGAACACGATATACAAGCTTGCTTGCTATACATACTTACACCACTTGATAGCCTTGTCGGATTATCTTCACACTTTATAAAAAGTCATTCACTACCTGGATTACAGTACGTACCCCCTTTGATGGTGTACATCAAGTACTTGCATGATTGTATCGATGAGTGTTCATTGCACACAATGTACATAAATAGAACCAGGGTGACTATACATGGGTATTGAGGCTTTCAAAGACTGTAATGCGTGAATATATTGCACCATTGCATTATTTTCTCATAACCACGGTATATGTTGGATTCAGTACACGATGTTCTAACAATACGTCACTATCTAGTCGGCTCTTGACAAATAAAGTAAA